CAGCAGGCCTCTACAGCTGCTACTTACTCCTATCCATGGCTCTTCTTGGAACTAAGGTAAAATAAGTGCATCTACAACTGCCACCTTTAAGTCTCACAAGGAGCAAATAACAGAATTTCTGCTTTTGTAAAATATGTCATTAGCAAACACAATAAAGCAACTGCCTTCTTGAGGAAAAAAGAATGCTGGAGCAAGAACCCATCTGCAGTTATAGTCCAAGTGTGAAAATGGCCAAAATGCACCTTGATTGCACAGGGACAAAAAGCAAAAACAAGAAGTGCACCAAAGCTGTGTGTGATCTCAGTCTCATTTAGACTGGCCTAAGACTCTGCTCCCAGGTACCTTCCCATTCCCACTCCTCCCTACTGCTGAGCTGGCATTTATCTGCCAGTCAGACCAGAGGCACAACCCAGCTAAAAAACAGTCTTTCTCTTCATGCTGTGCCAGTTTTGGTTTAGCATTTCTGCAAATGAATTACGTTCCAGAATCAGTAAACCTTAGTAGGTAACTTTTTCCTCCCCTCAAATGGCTGTCACTGAAGTTTACGTATTTTAACCAAGTGACAGAAACATAATAGCAAGTGTGGCAAATGCCTAGAAAAAATATTTCCTGCAGAGCAGTTTCAACACAAACTCAATATATTGTGGTGCACGTGTTGTGCACACATTGTACAGAAAACCCAGGGTTTTCATGCTACACCAACTAAACAAAACTTCACTATCTTTCAATCATTCCACTCAGAATTGCAACTATTTGTTTTCATAAACACAAAGAAGATTCACCACATTTAGCCTGTCCATGCTATTGAAGCAAATAAAAAACCCTAAACCCCCAGAGGAGAACATGCACAGGAAAAAGATAACTCCAACTGTTGCTTCCTTCATGGACATCAGTCTCTGCCAACACCAGAAGTAAGAGAAACCAGCAAGTTCACAGGGATGACACTGCCTAGCAGAGACAGAACCCTAACAAGGGCTTGCACAACCACATGCAGAAACAGCATTCCTGGACAATTGCACCACTTCTTAAGGCTGCATAATTTAGGAGGACTTTGGAGAGCCAAGGTATTACTTTGAAAAAAATCAAGAAATCCAGTGCCATCAAAAAATAAAGAGGGCATTTGTGGGTAACTGGATTAGGCACCCCACACAGCTGAACACAGGCACTGTGTGGAGGGGAAGATTATAGACCTGGATTAATGATATTCCTGCAAGTCTTTGACTGGTATTTCAAAACCTCCTTTCCCAGCATCCTCCTTACAACCTTACTTCTGGCCTGTGACGCTGTGGCAGAAAAGCAGGATTGCTGGTGCTGAGCACTGGCTACCTCTCCCCTGACACAGCAAACACCAGGCACAGCTGTGTTTTAGGGTTGCGGGGATTATCTGCTCTCTGAGGACAAGACTGCAGGTGCCCAAAAATGCAGAATAATTTTCTTCCTACTGAGTGAAGAACAAAGTGTTTTTCGCGGTTGTTCCTACCAACATGAACTTGGAATCTGCTCTGACAGCCAGGAGAGGATAATCACCAGTCCACTCCAAAATGTGGAGATTTCCTGTTTACACATATCACCACCCTTGGGAGATACCCTACCGTGGCTTCCAACTCATTTCCACAATTTTTCTTATTAACAGCACACAAAAGCCCCCCAAACAAAGAAAGAAACCAAACCAGAATAAAACTCCCACAAGGTATATACATAAAATGCCAGAAAGCATGTTGCTTCCAGCACAGTAAGCATATTAAGCTCTTAATTCCCTTGATTAGAATGACAGTGAAAACAAATGTTGAAGTATTTTCTCACATATCTCAAAACCAATAAACAAGCCTGCCATTCTGTGAAATCTTGGTTTATCCTACTCTTTCAAGGAGTGAAATGCTCTTTGTCAGCTATACAAGTATCTCCTTGAAACACATGCCTATACTGTAGAAGACTATCAAATAAATAAGCATCAGTATTTCAGCTGAAGAGTTTCCTGTAAACAGCCTCCTCCAGCACCAGAGAGCAAGCAAAGCCACATTTGCAGCAGCTGTCCAAGCTAATTGTTGCTGCTTGGTTGTTTGCTAAAGCTCTAGCCCTGGAAACACTTCAGAACAAGAGCAGCCCAAGTGGTGTGCAGGACGTTCAAAGTCACTGAGCACATTTAAAAGGCCCTCACCTCCAACCCTGTAATGCCTCAGCAGTTCACCACAGATAATCACTGTGCCATACCTAACTCCCTAAGGACAAGAAGGTTACATGTAGTTGGGGAACAGAGCTTAGAAATGCTACGGTATGAAACCTAGAGGTCAGTCATTTCTGTTGTTTCACAGGAGGAGTCAAACTACTGTGTTGAGCAGGTCACCCCAGTGCACAGCCAGTATCTCAGAAGAAATCTTGCTAGAGCAAAGAACAAATTCCTGTCTGAAGCATCTCTGACCAGCAGCTGATTCACTGCAAACAACCCTCCTCACAGTATTATTCACTCGTTTGCCTTTGGTGAACCTTGATTTCTCTTTGACTTCAGACTTCATAATAACTAACATACGGGACTGCAGAGAAGGTGATCCTTTCAAAGTGTAAAACCTGAATCCCCATTCAGCAAATTGAAAATAAAAATTGATTACACTAATGTTTGTAACTTTTTATAAATTATTATAAAACTCTTTTGCCCAAGCTTCTATCCTTAAACTCCAAATGTGAGCCTAAGCATCACAATCACGGGAGTCATACAAAATAACTGTTGTCTCTCCAGGTTCTTACCTCTGTTCCTCTAAGATCTTTGGGATAGTAAATGTCTTCAGTCATTTGAACACTTAGGCCAAAATCCACCAAAACAGCCTTAGTGGACATAAATACAATGTTGCTTGCTAAAAGAAAAAAAAATGACAACATTTAAGTTTCTAGCATGCTGAGCACTTAATTCTACAACATGCCTGTTGCACTTGAGGGTTAGCCTGAAAAAGGAGATTAACACAACCAGTCTCTACAGCCCACGAATGGAGCCCTTCTTCTAGACAAAATGGCTCTGTTAGTGATGGAGTCCAATTTTAAATCAGATCTTAGAAATCAAACTGGACTAGTTTACATAAAAGAAGAATCAACATTTGGTCCTTTTCCTAGCTTAAAAAATAAGAGAGACAGAGAGAGAAAATGGCTGAGGGTAAAGGAGGAAGGTGGAAGGCTGCCAGGCAGCTCAGCACAGCAAGGCTTGCTCTGAAGATGTTCAATGGTCTCCAAAGTGGAGAGCATGCAGTGCAGCTATAAACATAATTTTTGGTCGCCACGAGGTTTCTCTATACTGAAGATTTAAATTAAGACAGAAGCAGAGAGAAACCAAGGCCCCTCCACAGCAGCCTCATCATTCTGCACCTGTCAGGGACAGCAGCTCAGCCTAGCAACAGAGGAGAGACTATGGAAATGATGGAAAGTTCCAACCTCTCACAGAATTGCAGCAATATCTAGGAGCTCAATTCCCTTTCCTTCATAAAACTCTGCCTATGGCACAATTTTATACTCAGAGGCTTTCTTTGCAGTTGTATTTCTGATCAAGTATTTGAAGGTAGTGCTCTGTGCAAGCCTCGGGAAATCCTCGTTTCAGAAGACATGGACAAATTAAGTCTCCAAGTAGTACAACAGAAACACATTTTCTCCCAAAGGAAACTGTAGGTCATTCTCCATCTTGACAGTGGCCATTCAGTGGCAAAATGCAGGCTTTGATTTCAATAGTACTGGTTCCTGCAGCAATCCTTCACAGACCTGACTCCTTACCCATTCTACACAACTATGTAAGTAAATTTGTAATTTTAGAGAGATCTTCGCAGATATGGGTTTTAAACACCACATAAAGGGCAGTGCAGAGGGGGGACCACACTGCCACAGAACAGCACAACCTCTGCTGCTTGTTTGGGAGTGCACCCAGCCCCAGCTTCAGCTGGTTTTGGACTAAAGTTCTCCCCACCAAACAACCTTAGTTTAAACCACTTTCCAATCAAGAATTAAAGCGTGGCAGCACCAAACTGCTCCTAAGAGCCAACAGAAAGTCTTTCTTTCCTTCCTGGCTCAGAGTAGTCTTTCTCTTACTGAAATCCCCATCTCTTTCTGTCTAGATGTGGTGGGTTGGTTTTTGGCTGGCTTGGTTTTTACACCTTATTATTAATGTCATTGTTACTGCCAATTAGAATAAACCCACAGGAAAGACTCTTACTACAAGCTAAAAAGCAGAACTAAGGAAAAATAAAGCAGGTTTATAGTTGTCAGAATCTCAAAGACTTCCATCTGAATACTGACCCAGATTAAGTAAAAAAACCCCATGCAAAACAGAGATAAAAATGTAGCAATTCTTGACAATCATCTTCTGTCAACTATTTACTGTAACATTTCTATTTGAATATTTCTATTTTAAAACCTCAAGTTTAGCAAAAATTAACTCATAGAAGATTAACATCATAATTAGAAGCACTGTTACTAGAAAGGCAAAATTTATCTGTTTGCAGGGGGAGAAGGTGCTGGGAGAAACAGTATTTAATATTAAATGTGATGCATTAAAATGAAATTTTAAAGCAATTTACCATTAATGTATTGCATTTAGGTTTAATATTAATACATTTTGATTATTCATACATGTTAATACTCAGAACTTAAAAAAATTAAATATATACTAAAATTTGCTGCAAAAGTTGAAAGAAGAAAACACAAATTCTGTATTTAGTTCTAAAGTGGCTCAAATTGAGGAAAAGCCATGCAGAAACATAAAACCTAAAAGGAGGTGCAAACAGAAGGTGGGGCATGCAAGCACTCAGGATGAATTTATATGGAAAAAACAAAACTTCTGGCTTAACACAGACTTGCAGTTTCACTAATTTTCTTTAGGTTTTTATTTCAAATTGTGTTGCTCAAGAAAGGCAAAGGAACTATGACTTCTAAATCATCCTCTCTACTGAAGTGAATTAATAAGTAGTGTAAATGCCGTGTTCTGATGGTTATCCATCCCTCCCTCCTAGAGAGGCAACACTTACACACCCCAGGGTCTCCACCAGAGCCCCCAGCCTGGATCAGAAAGCACCCCAAGGAATCACATACACATACGTTTGATATCATGATGGATAATCCTCTTGGAGTGGAGAAAGTCAAGTCCTTTCAGAATATGTTTTGTCACCCAAATAATTTCAAATTCTCTCATGGGACCACAACTCTCCAGTTTTTCCATGACAGATCCTCCCTCTCCAGCTTCCATGAAGAGATGGATGGTCTCATCCCACAGGATAGCACCGTACAATTCAGCAATGTTTTCGTGACGGAAACACGCCTGTATTTCAACATCTGACGGCTTGAACTGTTCCACTGGGACCTGGGACATTGAAACAAAACCACAGAAAAGCAGCTCAAAAACCAAGTTATCCATACCAACACTAGTGATCCAAGATTAAAATGGAAGAAGGAAGAAAAACACTCCTATCCACTTGTTAAAATACAGAGCTTTATTTTGATTGATCCTGTGGCTTGTTCTTCCTTTCCAGTTGAGATTAATTTTGTTTAAAGTTGAGAGGTTTTGGAATCATGCCCAAATAAGAAATGTAATCTTCCAGAAAAAGTGATGTAGCAAGAGTTATTCCCATCAAAATCTGGTGGTTACGCAAAAGCTCTAGGCAAACTTCCTGGTGAAGGAGATAAAAAACCCACTGCTTTTTCCATTAGCTTTGTGCAGCCCCATCTGCTCTACCAGAGTTACACACCTGCCTGACACATGGATCTGTGCTTGCAGCCCTCAGTGCAGTCTACAGACTAACCATGCTCAGGACATTAGTGACCTCAATTCAGTCCTTATCAGCACTGGTTTATGGCTTACAAAGAATGGAACCTGCTTTAAAGAGAGCACCTGGCAGCACTGCATTTCTTTCAAAGGCACTGACAGCAGATTGCTAAGACAAAAATACAGTGCTTGCTTACACACAGAAAGGCTACTACTGCTCTTTTTACTCTCCTTGCAGGCTTGGGGCTATGAACCAAATAAGAGGCTAATATTTTGATTGCAATGAGAAATACTGTTTGTATTTTCATAAACATTAGGACACTTTAATTCTGCAGTGGGTTATGCAAAAGTGGCAAATTATATTTGTCCCCAGGAAGCTACACTGACTGCAAGGGAAGGCCATATAACTGCCCCCCCATCTCATTCACACAGGTCAGTGGAGGAACAGAGCAGTATCCCAGTTGAACTTCTATTGGTCCTAAATATTTACTACTCAATTCAGAATCATATGTTGAAAAGTAAAGCTGAAATAAAACATTGGCTTGCATAAAAAGAGAGGGGTGCTCAGTAGTTAAGTTCTTGAGACCTCTCATGACCTTATGCTTGGTGCCCATAACACAAGCAGAGTTGCACATAAGCTGAGTTCTCAGAGATATTAATGGCAGTGGAATAAAGAAAACTTATCTGAAGACTCCAGTTGAAGGATGAGATCCTAAAACCACCTGCAGGAACAGGGTTTGATCTCATGCTGGTATTTTAAAATCCTGAGTACAGCAGGATAAGCAGAAATTCTTCTACCCCCACATGGCAGCAGGCCTGCCCATGTGGCAATTACATATACTTCCAGATATTTAAAAGATGCTGAAACTTTTGCAGTCTCAGAGCTAAAAAATTTCAAGAAGTTAACAGTTAAAAATATGTATTTTTCCTATCTTGTGTAGGCCAACAAAAGTAAAACTGAGATGATCATCAGCCTAACAGTGAAAACGGATGCTGACATATTTGAAAATATACTGTATGCACTATGTTGTACAATATTTGCTCAGAGATAAAACTACTGAACTAACATACCAGTTTGCATGCCATTCTTTTCTTGGTTTCTCTATCTTGGGCTAAGTACACCTTCCCAAAAGCTCCCCGAGGAATAAAATCAGAGCCAATGTTCCTGTAAGTCAGCTTCCACGGAAACAGGAGCACATCCGAGTCGATTTGATAGCGCCCGTTCTTGGGTGTGATCTTGGGAGTTAAATTAACAAAAAAACAACAAAAAAAACAATTAAGTGAAAACTACTTCAACCCTAATTAATTTTATACATGTAGTGGAAATAAAATAATATATAACTTATATATGTGCATGATACATGCAAT